CAGTCTTGGGGGCTGGAAGTCTGAGAGCTGATAGGAAGGGTAGAGTGGATGGCTGAGGGCTTGGGACTATCAGTATTAGAGCTCTGAGGGATCCAATGGGGTTGAAGGGCATAGCTCTTTAATGCTCCACATTGCTACTAGGTTTATTGTAGTCCTTATAAGGTCGAGACTATAAGGCCCCAAAAGGGAACTTTATATAAGGAACTTGGAAGATATTTAAGACTGGTAGGGCTTCCATGTAGGATGAGGCTGTAATGTAAAATCTAAGGTTGGAAAAAGATGTACCTTAAATTCTGGCAGTGTAAAATGGTCCAGATTAGGAGAAGGGTTAAGTGGCAAAGTACTACAGTTTTACAAATAGACATGTACAAAGTTGTTCTGCTAGTTTAAATAAATGAGCATTTATTTCACTTGTAAATAGAAATTAACTGGTTATAGCAATAAATGGTGATTGTTTTACATACACACAAAGCATTTTTGCAAGGTAATATTTTCAAACTAAAACAAATTTCATGTCATTGCTAAAAGTTTTTTTGAATGCACTAAAAGGTATTCATTGAAAAATAGTGTGTTAGACATTGATTCGGGAAACAGAATTGGTTAAAATTTAAACCTGTTGGCCACAAAAAATAGTTTTATTACTAAAAGACGAAAAAAAATTAAATCAAATATTTCTTTCGTGCACAGAGAAAGGCCCTCAGAGTGTTTCAAAAAGTACATTTTTGCAGTAATGACCTTTCAGCACTGAGCCAACAATTTGCGACTTGCAGTTTTGTGATGATTAATAAGTGAAAGACTTTTTTCTAATGCTCTGGCAATGTGGATGTACAACTTGGAAAATACAAAATGCACATAGAACTTTGTTCAAGGAAAAACTAATAAAGATGAACAAAGAAATTGACTGGCAGAATTGAAACATGGGACCTCTGGAACACCATGCTCTACCAACTGACCTATCCAGCCCTATGTCGGTGGTTCTTCCCATTTGTCAATATCTCTGTTCAGGGGGCGAACTTGTAAAAAGTGAGGTTCAGAACAGCCACTGGGTTTACTGAACAGTGCTGGTATTTTGGCTGCCTGAATGGGAACACCATTCAATGTTTAAATGCATGCAAGAGTTACAAGCTTTTTTCCTCAAAAGAAGTAGTATCAAGTGTATTGAGTCTTTCCAAATGATAATTATTTGCAAATTTTGAAGTACATGAATAGCGTCTTGATAACTTAAATGTAAATATGAATGTTTTTAGATATGCATTAATGAGTCAGTGCGTTACGATGAAAGAAACAAATTAAAGGCAAACAATAGTCTTTCTTCAAAAGCAAGCTGACCAATTGTCTATTCAATTTACAGAGTACCTCTTAAGTCATGAATAATTTGGATATAAGTATAGTACAACGTCACTGTACTGAACAATTCGGTATACGGAAGGTGACTCTTGGCTCCAAAATTTTCTGCTCACTTTTACAAATCATCACAAACATCACAAATTTGCTTTAAATTAAAGAAAAAAATTAGGACTGATGACAGTGACTCAAAAGTGTTAATAAACTCCGAAATTGGAACGGCCATGTTATGAGCCATAGCAAAACAAGCAGCAGCACAAGGGAATCTGTTTTACACGAACAAGAACATACCTGTATGAAAACGTGTAACAACTGACATTTCAACATACATGTAGGAAATAGCACCCTTCTGTTTTGGCAAATAGTGCCCTCTTTTGCCAGGACTTTTCCCCCTTTTTTGTGGAAATCAGAACATTTTGATTTTCAGGCCTATGAAAATGCGATGATTAGAACAGTGCCAATGGAATCGCAATACTTGGGGAGATATGCTACACCAATGCTACATTGTGTATGGACCCTGCCCTGTTCATTATAGCAGCATTGTACTGCATGCCAATGTACACTACTCAAAAAAATTAAAGGATTAGACATTTGTCTTTAAAAATTTCAGCCAGGTGTGTACCTCATTAACTTATTGTACACTGAAGCTCATGTTCATGTTTGGTTGAGCACCATAGAAAGTGAGACAATGCAAGTGCTTAGTTGTGTTTTCAGAGCCCAATTACATGTAGCTGGAGGGGTCAAAAAGCATTGGGTGATGTGTATTGCACAACTTCAAAATGGCCACCTTTCACTCTCTGTGCACATCAATTAAGGATGGGATGACTCTGAGGCAAGGGGGTGAGAGAATGGGAGTGTCTTAGTGAGTTGGGAGGGGGGTACAATGACATGAATGAGACTGGCCAGTACTATACAACCCTATTGTGGTAAAATGATGTACACGTCTGTGTGTAATTTTAGGACATTTTGAGAAAAAGTGACAGAAATATTGGACCTCTTGCCATTTTGTGTTTAAAGGTACTGGAAAACTGTAAAGCCATTTTTTCTATGTCCCGACAACCACAAACTTGATTTTTTTGTATCAATCATTATTTTTACAGATCATTATAAAAATCAGTGAATGGGGGAAGATTTGAAAACAGATACAAGTCTGACATTGCATTATTTTACTGAATAAAAGGGTCTCAACAGTTACATAAAATTTTTTCATGCTGAGATACATTCTTCAAAGTGCTTCATTTCTGTGATTCAGAGTCACAAATAATGCCCTCACATTACAGGAATATACTCATAAACAGTGCCCTCACATTACTGCAATATCATTGTAATCCATAAACAGCGCCCTCACTTTACTTCGTTAAAACTCAAATTTTTATACATCATTTTCAGGGCCGTAAAGGACCTGGACGAGGTGCTGACCAAAGTTTTTTTTTCAGTGTTGTGAGACTTCAGTACTCTGTAGCGGAAGTTTCTTGTTTTGAAGCCAGAAACTCGCCAAATTAAATGACGCTCATTTGATGCGATGTGAATACCATTTGTTACAATTATTAATCACTATGTATGATCCTTTGAGTAGTGTACAAATGCAGATAGACTTGCTCCACCACTAAGGTGGAAGCAAGGAACTGCATCTCTGAGAAGATTGAGTCCTTTCCTTGCCTTTTGTGAATCAACTTGAATGCCTAAGCTTCTGGCGAGGATCCCTCAGGCAATCCTGGAAACTGTTCCTCCTCGGTAATGGAGGCGAGGCCTGGCATCTATCTGAGTTACTGCCTCTCCCTGACATTCTCATGAATCATCTCCGTGAAGTCCCATAGGATCTTGTCCTCCATCTTCCTTCTCTCAAGGATGAAGGAGGCGAGGGCGCTCTTCTCATCAGTGTCATGGTCTGCTTCTCCTGGGGCATACCCACAGCTTCCATTTGAGGAGGTCTGGGGAAGAAATTGATCACAAAAGTAACTACATGTAAGTTGCAGCAGAAATTGACACATTTCTTCACAAATTATAGGATCCTTGTACGCTCCTTATTTTTACACCTATTATTTCATAAAGAAACTGTTACAGTCTATTGCTTTTCATCCATTTTCATGTCAGAAATGAACTATGACGAGGATTCCTAATAGTGAATCAAAAAGTGACTTTTTAAAACACTTCAAATTGTCTTTCCCTTTTCCTAACAAGTGAGGGCGCTGTTTTACAGTAATATTAACGTCAGTCAGGAAGACCACAAACCTGAAATATCTATGAACCAACAGCTCCTACAGAAATCAACGATTGATCCCGAAGATTGAAGTGTGGGCAGAAATATTTCAACAATGTGCACAAGCCTGTTGAGTTGGATACAAATCGGAAATTTTGGATGGTGACAGAAAATACTATTAAGTGTTTACAACGTGGTCCTTCTTTGTCTTTTGGTTCAATATTTGTCAAAACTAAGGTAGATCTTTCTATAAATAAGAGCTCACCTTC